AACATACAGTAGATATATAATCAGATACCAGAAATAGTTCATGTGCAAGAGACATTAGGACTACATTGATGGGACATTATGAACCTTAGTACTGTTAAATCATGTAAAACAATAAAGCTAATTTTAATTAACTTTTCGCCATTTTTTTCATTTGGATGAATAGGTTGAATATGCATGCTTGACGTAAACAGGAAGTGAAACGTAGTGTTATCAGTAGGCTACAGCTGACCCCTGCTGTTTTTTAGCCTACTGTATTTCTGTTTACATTCGAAAGGCTAACAGTTTGTCTGCACTGTAACCATGGATACTGACAACAACCACATGGGCAAATAGTAATTTTGAGATTATGCTGCAAAATATAAAATTAAATTTAGTCTTTTTTTCTTTTTTAAAGTAGATTTTGTAGTTTTTTTCCTCAATGGACATCGGAGGTGCATCAATCAAGTTCAGAGGGTTATTTAAATTCCTTAACAGCTAGATTAAGTTTAGTTCTGTCATTATATGGTTGTACCATACCTTTAATTTCTCCGATGTGCCCTGAGCCCATGGCCAAAAGTTTATCCTTCCAGTCCTTTGACAACAGCCTCTCAATGCTGGGGGCCTCTGTTTAAGGGAGGAGGGGGAGGGAGGAGGGGAGGCAGAGGAAAGAGAAAGAGAGGGATTCAGTTGGCTGGCCAACATGACAATAAAGCTCATTTAAAGTCCATTTGCTGTAATAAAGGCAGCGGCAGCTCAGCCTAATGGCCGCATCAGCAGGAGAGAGAGGGAGAGGGAGAGAGAGAGAGAGGGAGAGAAAGGTGGAAAGAGAGAAGCTGATAATCGAAAGAGAGGAAATCTGAAGAACAAAAACAAGTGAGCAAAAGGGAAAGAGCGAGAGAGCCAACGCAAGATAAAGAGAGAGACAAGTGGAGGAGAGAGGGAGAGAAAGAGAGAGGCTTTTTCCCTCTCACCTGCTGCTAGAGAATCATTAGCCCTGTGGGCCCTGAGACAAAGAGGGCCTTAATGCACCCGCCACAATGGACACATTATCAGCTAGCGCTTTGTTTTCAACACACACTCCACAGACCCTTACACACACAAACCCCTGCGCAAACACACACATGTGCACACACCCGCAGAATCACTAATTACAATCCTAACTATGGACACACATGGATGTACGCACACACACCCACACACACAGTAGGGGAAATGGAAATGTCACACAAGAGAGCATACATGTACAGAGATTCAAGCCTAAATGTGTGCACGTATATGCACTTATATATATCACACACACACACACACACACACGCACGTACACATACAGATATGCTGCCATCAACCCAGTCACCAGTCAGTTATTGACACGGACAAAGGGGAACAGGGTAAATGATCAGACAAAAGAAAGAAAGAAAGTGTGAAGCAAGAGGGTTAGAGAGAGAGGGAGGGAGAGAGAGAAAGAGAGAGAAAGAGAGAGAGAGAGGCTTTTCCAAATGTAGCTTGTTAGCTGCTGAGCTAGCGTCGGGTACAGGACACACAGCTCCTGAACGGGCTCTGCATGGCAAACTAGCACCGGTGTCGGGGTATAGATAGGGTTGTTGTTGTTTTGGGGGCGCAAAAACGTGTTGAGATTAATCCCCTGGTTGTCAACCTCAGCCCCGGGGCTAACCCCCGGTCGCCGACCGAATTTATGGCCGGAAATCCGAGGAGGGGCGCCGGTCTGATCGGCTTGTGGAAGGACGCCTTTCAGCCCAGCCAGCAGCCTCCGCAGCCTCACCAACCTGCAGTGGTCGATAAGAAAATGGTGGAGAAATGCTGGAAACTCATGGACAAGGTATTGTTTGTGTGTTTGTAAGAGTCAGACAACAGCTTTACAGCAAAAATGCATTAAAAAAAGGAACTGAAAATATGCTGCTTATGTCGGTTTATCACTGGTTTCACATCAGATAACATGCATACGCTGCCACTTCCCTCTTTTTTCCTTTATGGTCAGTTATTACATCAACTTTTATATGAAGGTGTACTCCAAAGCTGATCATTTAACTTCTCAAAATGAACCACACACTGACATATTTGTTCAAATCCACCAGCTGTGTATGTGGCGATACGACACATATCACGATTCAGTATATTGTGATATATCGCGATACTGTCAGCCGGGCGATATATTGCAATTTAATGAAAACAGATCACATTTTTTTAGGAGCTAACTTTTCACAGTGTAAAGATCATAAAATCAGAGTTTAAAATAGTTTAACATCCAACATCACAGCCCTCAGGTCACCTTTATAACGCTGCTATGAAGCGGTAGGGCGTTTAAAACAAGTGTTATTGAGAATCAACACAATATCACAACATAAAATATTATTTTCTTACACCTCTACTTAATATTAAATCATTATTTTGTGTTTAAAGTCTGATCTACCTGATAACCCACCCTGTTATACACACACACACACACACACACACACACGCACACACGTGAAACTGGTTTCCTCTCATTGAATAAATATTAGTCCTACTAAACCCAGTAGGATTATATTTAATCTCAGAGATCCATACAGACAAACGCTGTTGAGTTGTGGCGCTGTCGTCAGTGAGAAACATTGACCCCCTAAAAAAGCTCCCTGGTGCATTATCTAATTAGGACAATTTAAAAAGCAAATCAGGTCACAGTAAAGGTAATCTGTTGTTGGAAACACCTCAAGAGGCCGATGGATGTCCCCGGGATTATGTTTGGTATTAGATCAAAAGAAGTGTGTGTGTGTGTGTTGTATGGAAACAGGCTTATATATATATATATGTATTGATTGCTGGCTGTCGCTCTAGTTTATCTTAACCGAGGTAGATGGAAGAGAGGAATGAAGAGACAAGAGTTCAGAAGAGATGAATTCACGAGGGCTGCAGTGAGAATAGCGACAGATATCAGATAAGACAGAGTTTAACGTAGCGGTGCGTACTTGTGCAGCGTACTGTGCAAAGAGGTGGCCTCGTTTACACCTGCAGTTTGATGTGTCTTTATGCGACTGATCCGCTTTCTTGTTGCAGGTTTTAAAACTTTTCCCCCCACTCGGGACCAGGTGACACTTTATTGCCCTGCAATGTCATTTTATTGTTTATACTGAAAGCAAAAAAGTAAGAAAATGTGTTTATTTGGTAGATTTCTGTTAGGATTTGGTCTTATCTAATGCATAACAGTTTAATTTCTTGCATACCTTTTCTAATTTGTTGCACATTTGTATCAGAAGTAGTCTTGTTTTTATCCTTTCTGCCATATCTTCCAGCTCGGTAGTGCACAATAAATATGTTATAAAGTGTCCTGTTGCAAAGCAAAGCAAACATTAACAAGGACAACTTGTTGCTTACACAGTTTATGTATTAACACCTACTGAACATTGCTGTAAACACCACTCTCTCTCATCCTTCCTGTTTTTTGCTGCCGAAACAAATTACCCCCCAAAAATAGTTTTCAAAGAAGCAGCCAAAGTCAGTATTTGCACTCTTCATTCAACGGAACCACGCATGTTAAGTCGTTGATGTTTACAGACTTCTCTTACTCCGACTACTGAAGCTTCATTAACTTCAGATCAACTTTGGAAAGAGGGGCGCATTAGGAGGGGGTCTCGTAACAAGCCAGTATGGGCAGCAGGAATGTTTCCAGCAAGCAAACAGTCAGGGCTCGAACTCTTAAAATATATTTAGTAAATATCAAATAGTCAAAATAGTCAAATAAAAGTTACTAAAAATATCAGGAAAACTCCTCTCTGGTGCTTTCAAATCATCTAAATCTCTGGTTTTACAC